TTTGGACTTTTTGCTTATCAACTTTCCTGTCTGCATTTTCCTGTTTCCCTCCTTCCCTCCACCCTTCACTCTATCTCTTCTTCTCTGGCGCAGTGTGATGGGACACAGGAGGCTGCTGTAATTTCATTGGAGGTATTAAGGTTGATTTGATTAACCATGGGCCAAATTACTGGCTGCTTAATGCAATCAGGCCCAGTCACCTGCCAGGGGCCCCTAGTTGAGGTGCTCAGCCCTGACATGCACACACACACACACACACACACACACACACACATATTCACAGACACATATAAGTAGCAGTTGATCAGACAAAGTGGTGAAGTTGTGGGTCATCACATCACATCCTTCCTCTCAGTGATACCTGACATCATTTCCTCTGGCCGTGTCAGTCAGTGAGAGGGACTGCTGCTGCTTTCATTCCTCCCAACCTACCTTTCTAAATGTTATTTATCCTCCTGCTATTCATTAGAGGCAGCAGCAGCAACAACGGGCGAGGAGACGCTTTTAATTACACTGATGACAGATGAGGGTTTTTACTGAGCGCAGACACGGTGGGAACGAATTTTAGACCGCTACATCCAGATAACATCAGATTTCTGTTTGGCCAAAGAAGTCATTAGTATCGTTAGTATTATCATTAGTACCACAGGTGTGTAAGCTTTTAACAGGAAGCCAAACCCAAAGCTCCTCCAGGGATCCAGAGGATACACAACTGGAAAACAATGAGCTAAATTGGATGGACGTTGGATGATCATTCTCAGTCATCTGATTTCATATGAAAATATGAGACTGTCATCCTGTAAGAAAAGGAGCCCACGGGACATCTAATAACAAAGGAAAAGAAGCAAAGGTCACATAGCTGCTGATACTCACAGCCACTGCACTCCGAGTTTGAACTGCTTCTGTCTGGCCGTCAATTCAGGACCCCAAGGGCCAGCTGGAACACGTATAGGAAGTCTTTTATTCCTTATGCCACACAGGCACTGAACGCAGCATGATTTGCTCTCTGGTATTTATTTATTTAAGCCATCTGCTGCTACCTGCTCATTTACACTATTGTATGTTGCACATGTATTTTTTTAATGGCGTGTTTCGTTATGTAGACTGTATATATTTTTTTATTGTACTTTCTTTGGGGGAGGCTGAAGACAAATTTCCGATAAGGTCAATCAATCAATCAAATCAATCGATCAGTCATTTTGAGCTTATAGTCACAGCTGTGACAGTGATTGGCACAAATAGTAGTAAAGCTGTGCAGACCTCACTGAAACCATGACTGAACGGTCCAGTGGGGTTTAAACCAGACCCGTGCACCTGTGTAGGTTACGTACCAAGCATGCTTTTTTGTTTTTTTTTAACTATGCCAAGATATAATAATATGACTAATGCCTTGTTGCACATTGTTCCCTGTACCTCTGGAGGAATATTCAAGTATTTATTAGAGTAAATGTAAGCCAGTAAAAATGTCTTGACACTTGACACCAGCAGTATTTTGTGTGTGTGCGTGTGTGCGTGTGTTTGTGTGTGTATGTGTGTGTGTGCGTGTCTGAGTGTGTGTGTGTGTGTGTGTGTGTGTGTGTGTGTGTGCGTGCGTGTGTGAGTGTGTGTGTGTGTGTGTGTGTGTGTGTGTGCGCGTGTGTGTGTGTTAAGAAGGAAAAATACATCTGCAGGACATTTTGTCTGTATTTGTTAAATTATGTGTTCATATGTCTGCTGTTGCTGCAAGTCGGGGGGGTGAAAAGAGCATTATACATTGTGTTGACAGCTAATTATCTGTTTGCTATTGTTTGCTGAATGAACCCCATCATTATTGTGAATGGATTCATTACTGTTTCACACTCTGTTCCCCATCTAAACCTAGTTCATCTTTTTTTTCCTTTATCTCATCTTTGATCCTCTTTTACTGCATCATTTCAACCTTATTTATTCTATTTTCCTTCAGATTTATCTCTTTTCTTATCTTATTTTTTATTTTCTTCTCTCTTCTGTTGCACTTATTTTTTCCCCTTTTTTCCCACTTTAACTTTTTTTTTTATCATCAAACTTGAAAATGAAACCAAACCTTTCTTTCTTTCTTTCAAACTCTCTCTCTCTCTCACACACACACACACACACAACAACCACTGGAGGGATTAGAACTATAGATCAGATTAATGCCAACCATTTAAGAGATGCTCACATACACACAGTCGCTGACGTCCTTTGCTTGCCGCATGCATTTTTAATCAGAATAGGCCTCGCTCCAACATTACACCCCATTAATTACCATAATACAGCAGTGAGCAGTCAGAGGTGCTGCCCCGCCCCTGTCCCACCACCACCCATGCGCTGCTGTCACAGCTGCTCTTTGGCTTCAGGAGCATTCAACCCCCCCTCCCCCAAAAAAAAGTCATTTTTCATTTTTTCTATTTTTCTTTTCCTTGTCTTTTTTTTCCCAGTGTGTCATGGGAGTACAACTCTGTGTGTGTGTGTATGTGTGTGTGTGTGTGTGTGTGTGTGCGTGTGCGTGTGTGTGTAGACATACATCATGACAGTGCTGCAGCAGCTCCTGTTAATGTGATTTCAGATAAACTGTATTACAGGACTGTCAGTCTGAGGCTGGACTCAGTCTGTGGCTGTGGTCACTGATGGTCTGGGTGAAATATTATTTCCTTTGATAAACACTGTTTTATCTTTGGATTATGAACTCACTGCCACTGTGGTTGTAGATGAATCATCACAAGTAATCAGGAGTTATCTCTGAGCAAGTTTCCGTTGGTGTTCCACATCTTTACCCAAACCAAATCAGTAAGGATATTTTTTACATTTTTTTTTATATATTATTAAATGCTGTAATGTTCTCAGCTGTGAGCTGCTGCTCTGACAGAGGCCTGTTTTTTTCTGCTAAGCTGCTAAAATCAGAGGGACTTAAAAACCTCCTTTTCTTCTAAGTCCAAATGACACAAGATGAATCACATGTGATATTACTGGACATTTAAACTCTCCAGTGTCAACTAATTGAATAAAAAACAAATTTGGGGAAATCCTCAAATGAAAAATGAATAAATAAGTAAATGAGAAGCACAAGAAGAAAACTAACATGCTCAGATTTTATAGAGGCAATTTGGTAAAGCTGATGTACAACTGTGCTTAAAACTATGACAAATAATACAAGCTTTCAAAGGTTCTCCTTCAGGGAATGGAGCTGTCTCAGCTGTCACCATGTGACAAGACGACTAAAGAAAGAAATGACTGAACGTCTTCAGTCTCCAACTGTTTAAGTCTTTAGCTTCTAACTTGTGGAAAGTGTAATGTTTTTCTCTCTCTGATGAACATCTGTGGCTCTGAAATGTGGGTCATACAAAACAAGACATGTAAAGACATCACCCTGTGATTATCTGCTGACATTTTATAAACTCAACCAACTTAACTAACCATTATATTCAACTTAACTAAACTTGACATTGATAAGATTTTTGCTTTTAGATGTTTTATTACAGAAAGTGTTTGAAACCTACAAACAAATAGTCGCACATTCTGTCAGTGTTTTACTTATGGTTGGAATTATAGTGAAAATAATTGATTTCCCTTTTTGCTGGGGACCCCCGGGAACCCCTTCAAGGACCCCTAGGAGACACCTTGAGAATCACTGATTTAAAACAGATGTCCTGAAATAAATCCTCCAGCTTCACGAAGGTTGTTAATGTTCAGATGCTGTTGAGGTGTTGATTCATCTGCTCATTGTGGGGGATGTAGTTTTTGGTGCTGTTGAATTGTATTGTGTTCTAATTAGAGATGTTTTTAACATTTAGTTATTAATGGTGAACAAAATATTAGAAACACGTGTCTGTTCATTGCAACACAACTCAACAGCACAACAAACTGCAACATTTAAAATCAGCATAAAGTTGAATCAACACAATTTTAACAAAATCTGAATATTACAACCTTTGTAAGTGCAGCAGTCATTTAATGACTGTATTAGTCATTTTATTATATTGCATTGTATTGTATTGTATTGTATTCTGCTTGTGTCCTAAAAATAAGTTTTCTTGATGAGGATATTCACACATCCAAATATCTAAGGTGTAGGTGCGGTGGAAAGTGCTGCTTCTGTCTTGAAAAGAAGAATGTCCTGCACACAGCTCTTGCTCACAATAATAATAATAATAATGATAATAATAATTATAATAATAATAAACTTTATTTATAGAGCACCTTTCATACAAGAGATGCAGCTCAAAGTGTTTTACAATAGAAAAAATCTAATAGTGGAATAAAATAAGGGCAATGAAAATGAACAATAGAAAGACAGTAGATGATGAAATATGTAAATACCAGTAAGAACAGAGTGAGAAAATTCATTTAAAGCCAAGTTGAACAAATAGATTTAAAAATATGCACTGAGCCCGCATCTCTTATAAGGCCGAAGCTCATTTCCTTTAAGGCTCAGTTGTTTTCATACAGGTGAATTATTTCACTCTCATGAGCTAACAATGAAACTGCAGTATAACGTCCCATTGAGGCTTCATTGAATGACTGTTGTATTAATCTGTGTTATTTGATTATGTTGCATTATATTATTATTTTTATGCCTCCCACTCCGTTCCTAACCTTTCCTTCTTATATTGTGTCTTTGTGTCTGTTCCACTGTATGTGGTGCTTAGCATAGTATAATAAAGTATACACCTATCTTTAGTCTGCTTGTGACCTAAAATAATTCAAACTGAATTTCCTTTTAAGGCTCAGTTGTTTCCACACAGGCGAATTATTTCACTCTCACGAGCTAACATGGAAAACTGCAGTATAACGTCCTGCTGCGGCTTTATCCACATATCGAACCGTGTTCGCTGTCTGATCTATACTGTCTGCTCATCTATACAGGAACCAGCGGTGGTTTAAACCGCCCGGCCTCCGTCTCATCTCTCTCTGGATCGTTTGCTTCAAACAACCTGTGTTTGATGTTAAAATGTGTCTTTGATGGCTAACCTTTCCCTCTCTGTTCTCCACTTGTCTAACAGGGCAGCACAAAGGTCCCTTCTTTCAGACCAGCCGGCTGTACATGGAGACCCCCAGTTGGGCAGGTCAGTGTGTGCGCATGTGTGTGTGTGTGTGTGTGTGTGTGTGTGTGTGTGTGTGTGTGTGTGTGTGGGTGCCTCTTGTTTGGTTGCAGACACTCACCACATTTGTGCATATGTTCCCACATCCAGTGGGTTTACTGATACATGCGCTCAGACATCAGCTACCCAGGGATGTATGTGTGTGTGTGTGTGTGTGTGTGTAGCTGGCTGTCTTTGTGAGTGTGTGTGCGCAGAGAGAGAGAGGGAGAGAGAGAGAATGTGCTGACTGCAGTGCTTTGGTTCTGGGCATGCCCATTAGAAGTGGCTATAAATCCTGAGCGCAGTGCTCTCACTGTGTCAGCAGTCCAGCCAATGAATGGATATTAAACGCCACAAAAAAGTCTCTTTAATTCTGCTGCTCCTGCTACACCGCTGCACACTCTGTCTATCTATCTATCTATCTATCTATCTATCTATCTATCTATCTATCTATCTCATTCAAATTCAAGCTTTATTGGCATGAACAAAAACATGTTGTTGCCACAGCAGTTTACAGATGATGCAATACAGATGCATGTTAAATATGTGACACATTCTGACGCAGTCCATTGTTTCATTTCTATATAATGAAACACAATATAATTCAAATAGAATACAAAACAGTTTTTATACAGTTTAATAAACAACATCATCATTTGGAGATGTTGTCAGTCCCTCAGGCTGTGGCATATCTATCTATCTATCTATCTATCCAGCTATCTATCTATCTATCTATCTATCTATCTATCTATCTATCTATCTATCTATCTATCTATCTATCTATCTACTGTATCTATCTATCTATCCATCTATCTATCTATCTATCTACTGTATCTATGTGTTTCTAAAAAGAGGAAAGGCTCCTTCAGCTCTGACGGCTCTGTTGTTATATCTATCCATTTTTCAGAATTAACATCAAGTAAATATTATTGACATCTTGTCATGTTGTGCTTTTATTCTGAAATGTGGGCCTGCACATCCTCCTGCCTGTTGTGTTTTTATCATAGGAGGCTGCAAAGTAGCTACAAAGTGAATTTGTAGATGGAGATTTCTAGATGGCTCTCAGATGTGCAACGTTTAGTAGCAGCTGTTAATCATGCAGAGGTAAACAAATACTCCAACGCCTACTGTTACGGTGTTGCCTGATCGTCTGGTGTTGAATGATCTTGTGCGGAAGCTTTTTTGGATCCTCAAACACAAAAGCGTTTTGCCGTTATGTTTCCCAGTTTGCACTGCGTGCATGGTGAGTTTTAGTGCGGACTCGTAAAGGCTGGCTGTAAACGCTCGGTCCTAATGTTACCCTGCACGCTCTCCCCCTCCCCACCCTTGCAACTCACCTCTCACTTCCAAACCTCCGTGCTGCTCGATCATAAAAAATGTATTATTATTTCGATTAAATTTGAGCTTCTGAAGTGTGACCCTGGCTGTAGGTGTGGCCATCTGTCCTCCTGGCACATCAATACCAATCTAATAGCAGGAGGAAAGATCAATCACAACCAGCTTAGATCTGTGGACGTATACACAGCCCGTGTGGTTCCTCTGCAGCCTCTGCACCAACCCCCTGTATAAAATCCATCGTGCGTGTGCACCTCTGAGCGCTTCCTACTGGGTTCAGTGCAATTGTGTGTTGCACATTTTGGTTTTGTTTTTTTTTGTTTTGCTTTGCCAGATTGTACTGCACAGACAAAAGGGCTGATGATTGGAAAGCTGTATTGTGGATTTATATTATGAACATGCATTAAATTATCATTAGAAAAGACGATGATCTGAAAATCAGAGAGCAAAAACACCAGAGTAGAAATCAGTTTAATCAACATATGCCACGAAGGAGTGACGGGAATTCATAATACACATAATAAGATGAATACACTCACACACACACGCACCACGTCACAACACACCACACACACACACACACACACACACACCACACACACACACACACACACGGCACACAAACACAGTTCCCTCCTCCTTCTCCATAATATCAATTACAGCTTGGCCTGGTTCAGCCTCTATCAGTGTTCGTCAACAGGCCTCCAGGCCCAATCAAGGCTCTGCAGCCCAATTACACTGACATGGCAGCTAATTGGAAAGTTGTGCGTGGCTTTAAGAGACGATCATTGTTGGAGAGAGTTGCGGCTCCTTTGAAGCTCCATGATGAGATTCGCGTTGGTGATGCCGTTGTGGCAAAAATTGTGTTTGATGTGTCCTTTTTATTCAACGCTAGCATCAAGAACGTTTTGGTTATTGTTTGTTGTTTTTATACCACTTGGGTTTTGTTACTTGGGTTAATGTTACTTTTTCTTTTTTTTTTCTCTGCAGTTTCATTGCAGACACATGGTGACGTGAGCTGCTAAGGCATCACAAAAACTTTACTGGTTTGAATCAAGTCCAGTTTAAACCGAATGAACTAAAGCACTGCCTTGGTTCACAGTGATATGCTGGCTGTAAATAAATCAACACAAGGAATAACCAATAGGAATGAAACAGGAAACAAAAACCATTTTCCCACTTTTTCCTGAAGTTGGAATGGCCGGCTCCTCATGCACTACAGCTCTTTGTCTCTGCTAACTCTGCAGCAAACATATTTTTTTCCCCATTAGTTACAAGCTTCACCCAGAGGGTGGAGTTTACCCCAAGGCTCTAACAACCACTTCTAGATCCCACCTCCATCTGTGCGGGTGCCCTGACCACTGAGCTGCAGTTGTTAAGACGTGGTCCCTCGCTCACTTCCTAGCTGTTTACGCTGCCCACAGTGTTAATCAGCGAAATCAATTATCCTTAAAAAAAAATCTGACTGTTGTCTGCCTGAGATATGAACAAGGCTCTTCTGCTGACTGTAAAGTGCAGCATCAGCCGTCAAGCTGTTTTCACGTATGAACTCTGTTTCTGTTTCTCTGGACGACACCCTTTTTCACATGCAGCACACAGAGTCAGGTGTGTTCTCACCTACAGGAAATCATTGTATCAAAGTCATAATTATATAATAGACTAATTTATATAGCATTTTTCTTAACAAAGTTACAAAGTGCTTTACAGAAAGACAAAAGGGGAATTAACACATCATAAAACAGAAGTTACATGAAAGTATAGATTGACTGTATCATGGGAAAATAAAACACAACGGCATATCAAACATTCATAAAAGCTTTAAGATAAAAAAATGTTTTAAGAAGAGTTTTAAAAGACACTAAAGATATAGCTTGTGTGATCTGGACTGGTGGACTGTTCCACAGTTCGGGGGCTCTAGCAGCAAAGGCCTGGTCACCTGCAGTCACCAGTCGAGTCGTTGGAATAACCAGCAGAGCTCCCTCCATCGATCTGAGTAGACGCCCAGGCACATATGGGGTTAATAAGTCCTTGATATAAGTCGGAGCGAGGCTGTTTAATGCTTTAAAGGTGATGAGAAGAACTTTAAAATCAATCCGGAACGTATCAGGCAGCCAGTGTAAGTGTGCAAGCATTGGAGTGTTGTGTTCATGCGTTCGCATCGCTTAGTGCCAGTTAACATCCCTGCAAATGTTTCATATTGTTCATTATTTTTCTTTGACTTTTCATCTGCTTGTTTTGCTGCTGTTGTCTCTTTTTACATCTGTATCATTTTAGCTTATCGTGTGATATTATCAATTGTGTTGTTTGTTTGTTTGTTTTTGCTGCTGCCTTTTCTTAAACTATACATCATAATCAATGCATTTCAATATAGTTTTTTACTCTACTGTCATATCTGAGTGTTTTAATCACACTGCACATGTAACTAGGGACAAGAGTTAGAAATTAGCAACAGCTATGAACTCTCTGTGCAACACATCAGTTTCACGCTTTGTATTGGAACTACTTTAGGTTGTATTTTCCCTACTAAATAGATAAATAAACTAAAAAAAAAAAAAAGTAGTAGAGTATGCAGGAGAAAAGATAGACATGGCCACTCGCTCACACAGACTGTACTTGCAGGGTGAAGTCTGTTTAATGTCCGCTTCAACTGATTCAGACATTTGTCTTCACACACAGGCTACACTCCACCAGGTGATGTATAGATAAGTTGAGGATTGCAGGAGTGCATGTGTTTTGGTGTGTACTCCACATGTGCACGGCATCTCTGTGGACCACGATGTAAATGCTGTTACACAGATTTTCTTACTCTGTCAGCAACAGCATAACATCCTGGGGAGGTATGACTATTTGTATTGTATTTTTGTTGTAATTTTTCTATATTTTTCTCCAGCACCGAGTGTGAACAGTAATCCTGAGTGGATTTTCAAGGTCTAAAGTTTCACTGGATAACTAAAAAAAAAAAGGTCAGTGAAAAACCTGGTAATTATTGTGGTTCCTAGTCTGAGGGCTTAAACACAAAATACAAAATCTTGGAGCATCTCAACGGTCAAAGAGTCGTCCTTATTTTAAGGTTTTTGATGAAGCTTCTCGTCCATGGACACAAACTTTCCACGATCTCACAAGCAACATGTAAACTAATGTCAATGGCAGTCTCTCCTCCAGTGATTAATCGTTCACCCTTTCTATCTACAGTCTTCAGCTCTGGTGAGTTCCCTAAACAAGTGTACTTCTCCACCACCCTGTAAAGCTTCATGAAGCTTGTCTTCTCAAAATTATCCAATTAAGTGGAGGGTCTTCTGCTGCCCAGAGGTTAATGGAAGCTCTTGTTCCTCTAGTTGGGAAATTAATCTCACTCTTAAGAGTTATTTTACATTCGTCACATATTTGCCATCAGCTACAGGGACAGTTTTTACAGTGTACACTGGAAAAGTGAACATGGACAAAGACAGAGAAACATTCAGCACAATGACTATTGACTGATGATTGATCCCTGCACGCACAAACTAATTCAAACTGTACCTGCGACGCAGATTGCTCTGAGCTGATTGCTCTGTGCTGACTGGTGGAATTCGACCCCGTGGTCATTTGTTAATGTTAGTGAAGCTTTGAAAGTTTGTTTCCTCTTCCTCGTTAAAAATTAAAGCTCGGCC